TTAGTTAGCGAAGGGTTGCAAATGTATTAGGAATGTGGGTCTCTGTGTCCAACGCCGCCACTGGTCAATTTTTTTTAACCATGATGGTGGGAGGACGAGCAACAACAACAAGAGCAGAAAAAAAAATAATGCGACTGTGTGTATATATGTAGCTATGAAATGAGGTAGAGTGAGACCGAGAGATATTTATGTTTGGGTAAAAATAGAGATCGGGATGCAGAAAAAGGAGACCAACGAAAATACACATACTCCCGAAGAGGAAAAGAGAGAGAGAAGGCTACATAGAGCTCTGGATGCAATGCAATGTTGCACGGTTTACGTCGTATTGTGTTTGTGTGCGTGTGTATGGATAGATGGTGTGTGTGTGTGTGTGAGAGAGCGGGCGGTCAGAAGCAGCAGCAGCAGCCATGATGGCAAGAATAAGGATGGCAACCTAAGTGGCACCGAGACCGAGAGCAAGTACTCTTCTACTCCTCTCTCAAAGCGCGATAGGCGGTAAAGGCGGCAGGTCGACGCGCAAGTGTTCTGCACGCAGCAAAGTGTGCTCTCCTCGCTCTACACGATCTACGCTCCAAACAATTGCAATTGTTACTCACTGCCGGTCGGGGGTTGTTGTTTGCCTCGCAACGCGTACACATACACACAACATATAAACGAGTACACATACGTACAAGTGCAAGTGCTTACATAATAACAAACGGAACAGTTTACAATCATCATTCGCGAATCACGGAGATTCCTCCTCCGCAACGCAATATTTGCAATACCCGAAGAAGAGGAACAACAACAACAGCATCAACAACAATAACACCCTCGCATTTATGCAATACTGTGATCCAGTGACTGTTTTGATTTATTTTAATCCTTCCGTTGTTTTCGCAGCTTTACGAAATATTTCATAAACAACGCAACGTGGAAATCATTGATAAAAAGTAAGCAAACTATTATTAAACAATTTTAAGAAACATCAGCTTAAACAAACAAAAAAAATGCAATATACAAATATTAATATAAATTTATTAATATTTTAAAATTGGAAAATTTGAACGCGCCAATATTATTAAATTTAATAATTTGCGCAAAACCGCGCGCGCTCTTTTCAACAACATTTTAAAGTCACGTTTTCTTACTGTGCATAACATATCCAACCCCCTGTGCAAAAAAACCCACCGAGAAGGGCGAAATCAATTAAATTGCATTTACATCGTATTGATTTTGCAATTATTGGGAACCAATCAGGAATAGACTTTTTTCTTGTACTTGTGTTGCGCGCAGCGGCGCTAGTTTTTAACGTGGTTTTTCTATTTTTCGCGCACATCCCCCAATTTTTGCCATTGCGCCATTGTCCACTTACTAATTTTTAGCGGATTATTGATTTTATACCCCCGCACAATGCCATCAATTGACTGCCAGAAAAATATATTTCCCCGTTCGCTCTCTCACACACGCACGCACACACCGTATACATACATATACACAAAATAAACACATACACAAATTTCACACATATACCAAAAAATCACACACATACAAAATACTTACGCAAACACACAAAACTCGTACGCGTATATATAAAAAAAAATCTAATAGTGCGCGTTTCGTCTCGATTTATTTTTTATTTACAAAAGTGGGCGAAATTCGCATTGTAATTATTTCAAATTTTTCCCAAAAGGTTAATATCATAAATTATTCAATTTATCGCATTGCGCTCTTCTCTCTATCTCCTTCTCTTACCAAACAGCGATTTGCTTTTTACCATATTTATTGATTTGGCATTGATTATAATGAGAATTTGTTTAAATTTTATTACGTATCCTTGCTAATAAATAATACAGTGTGTTAACCTATTAATGTTAATTAGCATCCGAGGTACATCTTGCGAATAAATATATTTAAAAAAAAACTTTATAGTTATACATATAGAAAACACCTGATTTAACATTAATTTTGCGCATTTCATTTCAATATCATTAACGGATGCAAGAAAAAAAATATATGGCCCCAAAAAAGAAGTGCGACATCTGTGACTGCAGTCGTGAACTTCACGCTTTTTTTTTAATTTGTTCTTAATAACATCTCTGAATCCGGTAAGAGTCACAAAATATATCAACGGAAATATAATTACGCAAATGATAATATTTATTTCTTTAATTTTCGCAACGTTTTGCTCCTAACTGCAAAGAAAACATTTCAAATCAGAATTGTATTTGTTACGAATATATTTTTTTTTACAAATGTAAAATGTTCGTACTTGTTACGAATCTTAGAATTTTTAAAAGTGAATACGAAACTTAAAGCAAATTATTTAATTTGAGAATTTAGAAAATATAAATTGCATTTTTTTAGGAAATTTTTCAATTTTATTTATTTGGATTTCATTGTAATCAATATTTTCAATTTAAATGCGTAATCCAGATTATTTTTTTATTTATTGCGAAACAATGATATAAAGTTTCAACTAGATTTGGTTGTATTTCAATTAATATTTTCGTGAACTGAATTTATTTTAAATGTTTAATCCTGATTGAAACATTTGTTATTTTCTGCGAAATTATTAAATTCATATTTTAGGTTTTTATGTTGAGATTATTTCAGATCTCATCTTTTGGAACAGAAAACAATTTTAGTTTTACATATTTTTTTTTAATAAATTACGAATAGTAAAGTTATACTTTTTTGAAAAAGTAAGTAATTTATATTTATTATGAATCCATAAATTAAATTAAACCATTATGAAATGAAATCATTGTTAATGCGTACTATTTTCCTATTATTATCATACTCCGCTATGTGTTTTGCAATTTACGTAACGTTCGCTAAGAGATGAATAATTGGTTTGGATAATATTGATTCAACATCGATAATTTATGTTGGCGATTAGAATACCATAAAATGAACATTGATGCAAGCACCGTTATGACGATCTCATTAAATCCATCAGCTTTTAATTCGGATTGGAATTCACATAAGCTTATTAGTTTAGTTTATCAATTACACTTCATTGTAGGTTGTTTGCTACTTCCTGGTTTTATTTATATTTAACATCATCGTCCCTAAATACGTGATTTTAATATCATAATAATATACTTTTACTTATTGTTAATTAAAGCATCAACATTATGATATAATCCCAAACCAGTTATATTTCACTTAAATTCGCGAAATTTATGTTACATAATAATAGAATTGTTGATATTTTTAAGTTGTATTCTCAAATTTTATTAAAATAACAATATTATTATAAAAAATATATTTCAATTGTTTACTCCAAATTTGTTAAAATCACTTTGAACAGTTTAAAAAATGTTTCGTTTATGAAATGATATTTCATTTCAATATGACCGGAATTGTATGCCTTGCGTTACGGGTATCCGAATAATTGGATTAAAAATGCCACATTCACATTCTGTGGGAAACTGGGTTTAACCCTTCTTAGTCCTATGGGTATTTATATCGTTCAGTCGTAAATTATATATAAAAAATTATGTTCTATGTTTGCCTTCAGTGATTTATTTTAAGTAAAATATTGATATGATAGTAATTATAAAAATAACAGTAAATGTCGTATGTAGTTTGGAATTATATAGTTACATTAGCAACAAATGATATTTGAAGTCGCAGTTCGCCTAATTCTAATTAGCATACGTATGAAAGACCAGTTTCTTTTTTTAATGGCTTCGATTCAGATGCGAGAAGAGGAGGAGGTTCTTTCTTACCAGCGGAAATACCTGAAATATTATTATTTACTATTAGTTGAGCAATCCGATTTCTGCTTAAGCTGATTCAAATGCTGAGTTATTGCCGGGTTCTTATTATTTCCGTCGAGGATTTCCACGATTGGGCTGCACGTAAAAAAGAAACAACCGTTGCGCAATTGCAATTAAATTTAAAGGGGGCGCATTGCTTTCACGTGGCTTATGAGGAAAAACCGGAGTCGGCAAATTCTTATTTATGCAATGATTCAATGAATGTTTTCTAATTATCGCGAATATTCTAATGGGAGTTAATGGAAATTTTAATTGCCGAGAATTGTATAATTTAAGAATGAACGACAAAAAAAAAGTAGGATTTGGCATTTATGAAAACTAGAAATAAAATATTGAGAACCACTTTTTTTATCTATATGTGTTGAGTTTTGTGTCAAATTAACGTAATTTCTTATTTTTTTTGTTGTTGCAGATATTCATAAAAACCAATAATGCGGAGAAAGTGCTGACGTATATTCGAGGAAGCAATAATATACTTTTTTTATTGGTTGTTGGAAAAAAAAAGAAGAGAGAAGTGCTAAAACGACGTGGAGATAATAGAGCAAGGACCATAAATGTTGAAGTAATCGGGTTGGATCAGCCCCAATTATTTTAGTGCAATTGAACTGGTGGATCCAGTGGCGTAGCTGTACAGAAACGGCTTAATCATTGGCGTAGAGATTGCCCCTTCGCTTTGCCCAATGGGGGGCGACACCTCCCCTGAGCAGCAATATTCGCTGCGATGGAACGATTTTCATTCATCGATATTATCCTCGTTCAGGCACTTAAGGGACGAAGAGGACTTTGTCGATGTCACGTTGGCGTGCGATGGATGTTCCTTCAGAGCTCACAAAGTCGTCCTCTCTGCCTGCAGTCCCTACTTCCGAAGACTCCTTAAGGCCAACCCATGCCAACATCCGATTGTCATACTCAGAGACGTACAACAAAAAGACATGGAAAGTCTGTTAAGGTAAATGCCCATCAATGAATTCATTTCGTACAGGAAACCACCGACGCATTCCTTCATCCCGAAGAAAAACACAATCCGTGCTCATTCATAATAACAACACAAACCAAGGTCATTCGTTCATGATCCGAAATTCACATAGTTTCCATTACAAATACATCTATTACTATTAAAAAAAACAAACACTTAATCATCATTTTACTTGTCATAATTTTAACGTTCAAAATTTGCTAGTCAGATTTCAACTATTTGACATAATGGAATTATTTTTTATTCATCATTCCAAATATTTACATTACTGTACTGTGAACATTAAATTAGAAAGAAAAAGTAATTAGAAGTTCGTGACTTTACTTGTCATAATTTTAACATTTAAAATTTACTTTTCAAATTTGATCTATTTGACATAATGAGAATTGACACAAAACATTGTATTTACCACAAATCAAATCAATAGGAATAGAAAGATTCAATATTTAAAAATACTATTCACCTTGGGAACCGTTTTATAATTAAAAATATATGAGCACGGAAAATATAATTAAACAGAAACAATAACCAATTACGTGTAACACGTAATTAGAACTATCTAATTAGTGCGGACCCAAATTTCCAAGGCTTTAATTTTTTTTTTGAAGTACCGTCTCATGATGACATGACTCATAGCTGGAATATTGATCGTAGAAAATCCAACTTATTTTTGCACAAACGTTTATAACGTTTTTACACCTCGCATTACTCATACCATCATCCGTGCTAAATAACACATTTCTTTCTTTTGTAACTCAATTATAATTACATGCCTGTTTTATTACCTTGCGGCATAGAAATCGCAAAAACATTAGAATCTATAATGAAAAAAAAAATATATAATAGTTTTAGAATAGTCAAATTTGAGTTACCTTTTAGATATTTATTGCAGCAGTAATAATTTTAATTGCTTTAAGTATTTGGCATAACCATTAAGAGAGAGGTTATTAATTTAATTGCTTAAAACAATTATTACAATCCATATGCCCCGAGGAGAATCAGACAAAAAAAATATATCTATGATATAATTTGTTTCTTTCAATTGTTTGCATTCACAGTGTTGTTATGCTTTCGTTGCATTTGCAAGTATATTTATGTGATTAGGGTATTTGCTATTCATTGGATGTCTGGAAGTAATTTGCTATTGTATTCGAGTTTCTATTTATTCTAAATATTCAGTACAAAGTGTTTACTTTTGGGGCTATACTCGAAAATTTTATTGCCCCGATCTTTTGTATCATCTACTTTACGAATAAATAGAGAGAGAATAAAACAATTATAGCTCTTAGACTATTCCATTAATGGACCTTTCTCCAGATAAGAAACAACAGTTACACGAATACACACAAATTGTTTTCCGATTTCGAGTCATGTTTTATTGATTATAAAAATCCAGTTTCTAAATTCAATACACGTGGACGAAAATCTAATTAACCTTTCTGCTAAAATAATTAAATAAATTATACACGCGTAAAACACGCTGGACGCGAGAGAAAGAGATGAAATATTGTAAATTAGTATCACTCAATTTGAGCGTGGATTTGAATCGGATCTACATGACGACGTTTTTTTTTATCCTTTTCTAACTTTCTAAATTTTTACATTGTTTATAAGTTCATATTTCGACACCGACGAAAAGCCTTTTGATAAGCCGAAATGCGCATTCCTTCGGCTTCAAGATAAAACCCACGCGTACATTTTTTCAATGTCAAAATAAAATAACAATACGGTGCACACGATTGAATGCAGATCGGGTTTTCTTCTTCTTTTTCTTCTACTTCAGAGTTAACGTTACTTTACTTAGAAAATAATGAAATTTCGTGCGTTTATTCTGTAATAAACGAGGTAATTGTTTCAAGTCAGGAAACAATGATGGGAACCTAATTATGGGATTTATTTTTATAGTATGATTTACTAAAAAAAAATCCCATCAAATTCTACATTTCAAGTTTGCATTTGCAATTTGAAGTTAAGCATCGTGTGTTTATTTAAAAAGGTGATCGATTTTATAATTATAACTTTTATTAAACATAATTAATTTATTTTAGAATATTTAGAATAACTGTGGTTATTTCAAAATCATTGTTTAGTTATAATTGTTGGATATTGCTACATTAATTATGCGAATTACAATTCCCCAGTACTTTCAATTTAATAAATTACATTAGTTTAATTGGAAATTGAATAATTATAGAACTGAATATTTAATGTTAAATCTGCTAATGAATAACACAAACAATTGGTTAAATTAAGTTTTTTTTTGGTAATGATAACATCTAAACGTTTTTAAAATGTGGTTGTAGTTGATTCATTGCGTATGTAATGTAACCATTTTACGGATGTAGATAGCGATCACATACCAGTTTTTTTTTATGTTTCTTTCTTTCACTGCTTTACGTTCATCGAAATTAGGTTTATTTTTCACTGCTCACATACGGTTTTACATAATTGTCCGTTCGAGTATATTTTTTTTTATAATAGCCTATAAATTTTGGACTGAGGCTGAATAATGAACGATTAACACATGAGAATTTTGCCGATAATATTTCAATATTAATTTGCGACCCAATTTCGGAACATTGTGAATAGTTGTTAGTGACTGTAGGAGAAAACGGAATGAAAATGAGCTAAGCCTAGACAAAAAAAATGCGAAGCACAGACATACACTCCTTGTTTGAATAGAGATAATTGAGGTGACTGGTAAATTATAATGATTTTTATGAAAGGTTTCGAACGTGCAACTCAATAATGTAATTATTTAATTAAATCCGATGTTAACATTATCTTTGTGCAGTGTTCACGTATCTCGTAAATCACTTGAATCAATAACGTTATGTGCTTTTTCTTTCGTTGTTGCGCGTTGAATGTATATTGTACATTACGTGCGGACATTCGCAAATGACATAACAGTAACACAATTCGCCGTCGCTCAATTTTAGCAAAATCTTCATAAATGTTTAACAAATAAAAAATGGACACACGTACTTATTGGCATTGAAAGATTAAGTAAATCGTTCGCATCCGTTTGCCTGCCCAAATTGATATTACTTATATAAATATTTCATACATCGTATTACAAGCTTTGAGTTACTTTCAATAAAAATAAATTATTTCGGAATGGTTTGATGATTCAATGGAAATGAAAATGGATCTTATTAAAGGATATTTTGTTTTATATGTTTTCAGGTTTATGTATAATGGAGAAGTTCACATAGGGCAAGAGCAGTTGACGGATTTCTTGAAAACAGCACAGATGCTGCAGGTCAGAGGTTTGGCGGATGTTCCTGCCGGTGGACCTGGTGGTGCGCAAAAGCTTGCCACCACGACGAACTCCGGAGGGGAGCAAATGCAAAAAGTATCACCGGTAAGTGTCGTCAGCAAATCGATGCGAATTTTCTACCGAAATATAACGCAAACAGCATACCGCATGACGTGTATGACGAGATTTCTAAACGCGCCGTGAAAGTTTTATTTAATCAAAGTGTTTATAACTTATGCACAGCAAACGATGTATAAATGCTTGTACAAATAAATTGCATTTTTTGACGACTGGATCGTCGTTCAGAATATTTTTGCGGAATATTGAACTTTGGATGTTCCGAAAAGCGGACTCTCCAATTAACACAATTACATGCTTGTAATAGTTTGAGGTGTATTCTTTTTTTAGAATTCGTCTTCGCTACCTTGGGCCACGGAGAGACCGGATGCCCTTAGGGAGGACGGGGGATTATCGCCTCCTCCTGCGAAAAGATCGAGGAGCAGCGAGCACAGTAGAGGAAATTACACGCCGGATAGGGGCAGGAGTCCGTCGAGAGGAGAGGCAGATATGCCGGAGTCCCTTTTAGGACAAGCCCTCGAAGGGGGACCGACAATACACACGAATTCCGTAAGTCATCGAACGAAGCTTCTTTTCAGGAACGCCCTTCAAAAAAAAAAACTTTCAACTTGCAATTATTTAAAGAATAGAATTTCGTGTGAGCATATAAAAGCAGTGCTCTTATTTTTTTATACACAATATTATTATTTAATATATTTTTTTTAAAGATTTTGAGCAAATGGTTTACCGTAAAATATTATTTGTTTTTTATTTTATTTTGAAATATTTATTATAAATATTTTTTAAAGTTTGCGGATAGACCATGTTTAGATTTAAGATTTTTTTTATGGAACAAAATTGAATCGTAAAATAAATTTATTTTGTTGCAAAAAGTTCAAAATTGTGAATCCTACGATAAATTGCTTTTGTTATTTATATGTTCTTTTTGATTGTTAACAGGAGAGGAAAGGTAATTCGGATTCATCCCTTCAAGCACAATCGACGGGAGAGGATAGCAATAGCAGTGATACAGCGATGAGCGACCACGAAAGAGACCCCGTCACCCCAAAGACTGAACCCACAGATTACCCCATGATGGACGACCATCATCCTTACAGCACAAACGGTGGCCTCATGGATCAAACAAGGACACCGACGTTTCCTAGCGCCCTTCTCAGTCTGCAAGGTACGAAGAATTAACCGAAATCCGATGTCATCTGAGTGGAGATTTTAAAATGGCATAATTTGCGATTTCTAGGACTTCCGGGACTTCTGCCTGGCCCATCGGGAATGCACGGCGGCGCCGATAACTTTGGTAAGCATGAACGAAAAACAAATTAACGAGATAAATATATACGAAAGAATGAGAAGTAGTGGCGAAGAGAAGAACAAAGCAACATTCTGGAATTTAAAGTACATTGCAATCGATCGAAGCTGGGCAAACGGCGGGGGTGGCCGTAATTACTGCGCGTAAATAATATTCGGGAGGGTCGGCGGCCGTTCCTGCAATTGATCGGTGTACTGGGGAATCAAACATTCGAGATTTCTTCCCTTTCGCACAACCACACAAACACACACATTCACACGCACGTGCATACATATATATACATACACATACGTACACTTGGAGAGAGAAGTCCTCCTCCTCGGCCGCCGAACCAACCCCCTGCCGCCTCTTTGGCACATCGGTCTATTGATTTATATACCCGGGTCCGAGAGAGGATGGACGCCGTAGTGGCACAAACTAATGCGCAAAGGCTATTATATAAGGGCGCAATTCGACGAGATGCCGCGGATTGATTTTTCTCCCTTATTTTTTTCTTCTTCCTTCTCCTCCTTCCCTTTTTGCCTCTTTGCTTCCGCCTCTTCCCTTATTTTCTCGCGTCGCCAGGAGGTGCGGATATTAATTGAAATTCGTCCACCCCTGCGATAATGAATCCAACGCGATCTACCTTCAATGAAATCCAACCGCTTTATTTCAAAAACCAACGTGGGGTTGACGCACTTCATTTCAAACACTCAACTTTCGGTTCGTATCTTAAAGCCACCAGCGATTTACCTCTTAGGTGACGATTGCTCGACGTTCTATCGATCTATTCGAAATACCTTTGTATTTGCCAACTTTTGTTTAAAAACACAATGTCAATAAATTTTTTACACTATTTTCGATTCAACGATTAAATTCACAACTTTATTCTGAAATTATTTCATTTCTACAACTATTTACTATTTTATTGATAATAATATTTATTAATATACTAATGAGAGATATTAAATTTAAGTTGAAATCATATGAATTAGAGCAAATAACTTTTAAAAAACGTATTAGTTAATTAATATTAAATTTTCGCGTTCGTAAATTATTTTTGCAGCAATATCTTTTAGTGGAATTAAGGATTACATGGATTATTTCGTTTTTAATTGACATTATTAGTAAATGTTGCAGTGTATATTAATAAAGTAAATTATAAATCTCTATTTTATTGTTTATTTTAAATGTTTTCGCGATATTATTGAATAAGATTAATAATAATAAAATCAATTAATATATAATTGTATTGTATTATCTTGTTTATTTGAAACGTTTATATTGTTCCGTGAAATTAATGGATGAGTTAAAAATAATTGAAGGAAAAAATGTGATGAATTAAATCAAATTCTTTCTTTGGTTGGATTTAATATAGAATGGGCTTGAGGTTTTAAAAAGCAGAGGGTGGTCGATAAAATGCGGCTGGGATTAATTCCGACGTCCGTTTCTGACGTCTGTTCCGGACACTTCGGCGCGCTTCCGCCTTCGCCACCCTCTCCACCGTCGCCTTAATCCAACTGATGGAAAGTATATTTTTTTAGATAATTAACGAGAAAGCCTGGACATTGAATCTCGTTTGTTTACCGGAAAACGCGCGATTCCTCCGCAATGACGATGCCGTCGAACCGTGTTCATGTTCCATGCACGCAAGTTTCAATTTTATTTATAACATTGTTTCGAATTATGTCTCTCGCAGCGTACAATTACTTTAATGATTTCAATTCGAAGCAATTAGAGGAGGTCCATTATTTTAATAACTGCAAATTAAGGATGTACTTAGTCGAAGTGGAAAGTTATCGAGGTTTGCGTATTGGCATCCCCGAATAAATTTCGTTTGGAGGGCAATTTCTTAAAATAAAGAAGGGTGAATAGGCGGAAGGGAAAAGAAAAGGAGGAAGAAAACGTGTGCGTTATCGAAAACTCGGGAGTAATAAATGTGCGTAATGGTCGACGGACACGCACGCGATATCGCGGCTCAATATCGCGCCATAAGATCTCTTTTTTTTCTCCCTCTCTCTCTAACACACTTATTCTTTCTTTGGATTCCCTTTCACACATACACACACACCTTCACCACCCCGCACATATAACACCTAAATCCCCCCAGCAAATCATCGAAAGTGCATTTATCCGAGAAGGCCCGGAAAACATGAAAAAACGCACGAACCGGAAACACCCTAAGAATAGCGGGAAAATGGGGGGAACCAGAGCAGACGCTTTGCTCGTTGTTGGTAATCTTATCTTGAAAATGATAGATTCTTTTAAAACCTGTTAGAGACAAAACCGCTGATATCTGGATTTTCACGTATGCTGTATATAATACCGAGTCGTTGATTTAAAGCTACCTTTAGTTAGAGCCAGTATAGAGTTTGCGAGAGAATTGTTCAATGTTGTGCGCTTTATGGCTTGTTTGTATTGATATTGTTTGTAAACGAACAGTGGAATTGCAACTATAGTGCAGCGTGGCATTACAGATGCCAGCAGCGGTGCTTCGCCTATGGGAGGTCGAGCAGGGCCGCAGGTGTCTGGGGTGTCCATCAAGTACGAGTGTCCACTGTGTGAGCTTTTGTTGCCCTCCCTCAACTTAGCGAGGTCACATATCGATGAGCACTACCCCCGTGACAGTCCCGTCTGTCCAGTCACTGAATGCGGCCGAAGATTCTCGCATCCAAACTCCGTCAGGAATCACATGAGGACCAAGCATTCCCGACAGTGGGAGCTCATGAAACAGCTCAAATGGAGCCTCTAGAACGACCACCGGAAACTGCTTGACTCCTCCAAGAAGACGTTTATGATGATGATGATGAAGAAGTGCAGGAAGAAGTAGTAAAAGTCATATAAAAACGGCGGATTGTAGTCGCGGGGGCAATTTATGGATTTGCTACCCTCCCTCAATAACTCGATAATTCCCGTAGCAAAAGACAATTGGGGCCGCTGCTGTTTACGTTATGCGGATTCCCAAGTTATTAGTTGTAGCAAGGAGGGAGGAGAAGGAAGTGAAATACGACGAGGAAATCAATAATTGCACAGCGAGGCTAAAAAGGGGAATATAAATAAAACCCTCGAATTGTGATTTATATATATATACACATACACACCCTATTTACGATTCAGTGGTTAAATCGATAAACTAAGGAAGTTCTAAGGAGATGAGGGAAATAAAACAGTGCCGCGGTCCGCCAAATACGCATCTTTTCATCCAACCCCCACCCCATCCTACGACTCTTCCGAATACCCCAAAACTCCCTCCACCCTTTCGCCTCCGCCTCTTTTCGCCAAGACTGCAAATGTTCGTTTCGGTTCCTAAATTAATTTATATACTCGACAGAACAAAAACTTACAGTGCAGTGAGATGTTTAGAAACAAAAAAAAAGACAACAACAAAAAGACTCGGTGATTTGCTTTGTGTTTTTTTGTTTAAACTCAGTCGAATTGTACCAAAATTTATTTATGTAATAATTCAATAAATTACTGAAAGCTTAGCCCTGCGTATCTTGCCCTTCGCACCCCAGCATATCTTCATAATCCGTTATTAATTAATTAATTATTGGATTAAAATTAACTAAAGTAAGTTTGTTGTTTATTTCAGTTTCACGGCGATCATTAGATATGATGAGGGTCAGGGCGACGGATCCGAGGCCGTGTCCAAAATGCGGCAAGATCTATAGATCGGCCCATACCCTTCGGACACATTTGGAAGACAAACATACAATCTGCCCAGGCTACAGATGTGTACTCTGCGGAACCGTGGCAAAATCAAGGAATTCCCTCCACTCGCATATGTCTAGGCAGCACAGAGGAATCAGTACCAAGGATCTGCCGGTTGTACCGATGCCCGCACCTTTTGATCCAGAATTGGCGAGCAGGTAATGAATGCCATTACATAAATCTATATCCGAAATATTTATATGATCCTTTCTTTCTCAGGTTATTAGCAAAGGCGGGTGTGAAGATATCTCCTGCGGAATTAAGAGCTAGAGCTTCTCCGACTGGTCCAAGGAGATCTGACGTCAAATTAGACGCCAAGAGTGTATACGCCACCTCAGAAGCCGGAAGCTCGATATGCGGTGACAATGATCCTGAAGACCTGACTACATCTCATCACCGCTACGGGGCGTTCGACCTTGCGATGTCGCCTCCCATAAATCACCAGAACCATCCTGCTCACATGAAACACAAATTAAATTCGGCCGCACAGGCTGTGGCAGCAAAGAGCATAGAATCTCTTGCTCATAATCTATCCAAAGAACCTTATCCCGCACCTCTGGCTCCACCCTCCGCAACCGGATCAGCGATACTGGACACGTACCTTCAATTCATTACCGAAAACAGTGGTATGATGGGTATGATGCCGGAGCAAGCGGCTGCCGCAATGCACGCAGCCAAAATGGCACAACTGAACGCAATGGGTTTGGATAAAGCATCGCAGCAGCATTTCTTGGAAAAGATGCAGCAGCAAATCGGTGCGGCCAATGATTTCATGATGAAACGCAACGACGAAATAAGGAGGAGTGAAGGAGAATTAATACATGATGATAGGAATAATGACGACAGGGGTGAAGGAGACGATGGCGATTCGTCGGCCGGTGAAGACGAGTACAGCGAAGAAGAACCGGAACCGGAAGCCGTCAAAGTTGGCGAATAGAGATCGCAGGGTAAAGAAAACATATATTCTAAAGTACAGTCGCCGCGCAATCTTGCCAACGTTATTTCTTTCGAATACTCATTTATTCCATCCAACTACCTCTGTTTGAAAAAAGATACATACTAACGATTGATGAAAGCGCGAGCTTTTAAACTCTCCTCTTCACGAACGTTTCTGAAGGAAGAGTCACAAATTCCATCCGTCTACCTCACATAGTTTTTTACTTAAAAAATAAAGTAATGAAGAATAAAATAATAAAGCAAATTAAGAATGCAAACAATAAGGGTTCTCATAGTATACGGTATATTGATATAGATTTAATATTATAAAAATTCTACGCGGTTATACAATAAGTAAGTTGACGTTTTTATTTGAGTTTTTTTTTTCTGTAGATAACGAAGTAACCTGTTGTGTAGATTTGTACCATACTGTTTTGAGAAAAGGAAAACAAATATGAATTGTAGAGTGAATGTGCCAGATTTCGATTTACCAGTGATTTTAGATTATAGCAGTGCAGGTTCCTACACCATTTAATTTGTACACTGAGAAAGATAAACTAAACGGGTTAAGCAAATGACGAAATCACTTATTAAATGAATTACGTAAAAAAAAATACAGAATAAAATAGCGTTTAGAAAGTATTTTATATTAGGCGTGTCGCTATTTTACAGAATCACATACACATCCACACATTCTCGGAACCAGGTGAAAATGGTACAAAGCGTTTTTGCCTTTTTACGATTTTACGATATTTTTGTACGTAATTTTAAAACAAGACCTTAGATTAAAAGAAAAAGAGAAATGAAAAAAAGGAAAGAAAGAAAAAAATAATAACACAGATGAAGAAAATACGTTCTTTTCTTATATCATTTTCTTTTTGGATAGATGCTTCCATGAGTAACTAATATACAATGCTTCCCAAAAACAATGTTAATTATAAGCAATTTTTATCAAAACAATCATCAATCATCCGCTCAGGAAAACTAACTTGGAACGAGTACAAATCGCATACATTACTTTTTTTTAATTATTATTATTCACATCAGGGATTCTTAATTAATTTTAATTAATTAATTAGTCACAAAGTCGCACACATATCCGTGATAAATATTCAGGTTTTTTAAAAGAATTGTAACTCAGGTGATTAAAGGAATCTTAATCAAATGCGAATCCTTTAACTGCCCCACGCATTTATTTTAAACAATATTCAAGTCATTAGTTTTTAAAACTGTCTAGGATAAATATAATAATGTGCTTCTTTACTTCCAATTATTCTTCCGTTGATCTAATATACAAAAAAATATATATTTATATACAAAAAAAACTAAATGAATAAAAAAAAACTGCACCACAGAAAATCATTCCGAAAGCAATTCAAGTACAAAACAAAATATTTATATAATTAAAGAAGAAACTATAAAAAAAAATAACGACAGCAAAAAATAAAGAACATGTGCAGTTCACTCTGTTCTTCCAATCAACGTTTATTATTATTTCATGTGATAATAACCCAATAGAACTTGCGTAAACGAGAAAATGCAATTGCTAATCGCTAATAAATGGCCCGTGTAGTTTTAGTTGTTGAATGTTTGAGAATGCTTTTTTATTCGAAATTATTATTTTTTAACAAAAGAAAAAAGAGAAATCACAAAATGAATAGTATTTGTATTAAGAGAGTAGCGATAATGAAAACCGAGTATATAAATTATAAACTGATAGAGTTCATTGTTAATTATTGGATAAGTTTTAGGATTAGAGAATATTGTTGAAGTAAACAAAAAAAGTAAATAATAATACAATAAACAAAACGTATACCGTATTAACAGAATGTATACTATTTGAAAATATTGGGACACACCAGTGAATTGCTTTAGATATTTTTTTTTCATTTATACTGTTGAAACTCGGACGTTTTACGAATACTTGATTCTAGTTTTCTTTATTTTTTTTTTTTACTTTTCGGCTGCACTTTAGTTGTGAATGTTATATATTATCATTTCGATATTGTACATAGATAAATTGTTGATAAGTGATTGGTGAGAAGATCAGGTTTTTTTTTTGTACATAGCTCGCGTTTATTTTAATTTATTTCGGTGTTGCATAAGTTTTCTTTTGTCTCTTATTAATTTTAGTTATTCACGATATTTACATATATATACCATAAACTTTTATGTTCTTGATAATGAATCATAATTGCAATACCTCATCATTATGATATACTCGAAATAACGTTTGTGATGTTATTATTATTTTTGATATTGTTGTTGTTTCCGTTCAGTCTACCTCATTTTTACTTATTTTGTATTGACAATGGGAAATCCGGAAATTACCGGAGCCCAGTAATAATTAGTAATAAGTAACAAGAATAACAAAAAAAGGAAATAAAATAGCCACAGGTAACTCAGAAAAAGACACCTTTGTGTTCTTTGTGCGCACCAATTTACGAACAAAGCAGATGAGATCTCTTTATTTACAATAATACTGGTAACTTTTGTACTTAAAAATGAACAAAATATCAAAAAAAATCTATATATAAATATATATATAAATAAAAGAAATAGAAATTATATTATTCTATAGAGATTCTTAGTTTTTAGAATGTACAGTTGTTTTATATAGTTTAAGGAACGTTTTTTTTTGTAATAAGAAGTTGTGGTGCATTCTATGGAGGAGCTTCTATGTATGTGCGTGCCATATTAACGTAACCCTGCCCCCCACAAAAATTAAAAAAAAATGCGTGAGAAAGTTCGCGTAGCTCACACACAAAAAAATATTTTATTTTTCTCGTTCTGTTTTCATTTACAAGAAATGCAAATTGTTCGCGCGTAAGAAAGAATTATTATGTAATTAACCGGAGTAATGGTTCCTAATTTAGTACGGTTCCTCAACAATGTTCAGTTCTCTGTTGTTTTTGTTGTCGAAAAGCAAAAATTCTGTAAGCTTTTAATGTCCTTAGATGTATTTTTACAATTGTTTGTTTTTCCGTTTCGTATTAGAAATTACGTATTGTTGAGGGACTGGGTGCCTTCAGAAAAAAAAATATATATTAAAAAATAAACGCAGCCTGGGATGATCTCGATTCGATTCGAAGATCCCAATAAACGCTGTAGCAGAGTTCCTAAACCTCACTCCCTTTACGAGAGTAAAATATTATGTAAACTTTTTTATAGCGTAGAGAACCGTTGACACCGAAAGTAATATATATGTATATAGTTTCGCTGTAACGGCAGAAACCTTAGATATATATTATGTATACACAAACACACACACACACAACACACTATATTATATAAATAAATATATATATAAAAAGGTAAAATATGAATGAAGGTCGATGATAGGTGTATGTGTAAATTTCGAAAAAAAAAACATTAAACAAATCTCGAGGAATAAATAGATTCCCCGAATTTGGATACCCATGGAAATTAATGTTCTATTCTTTTTGTTTATTTGTTTGTTGTTTATGAAGGTTCTCCTAATTTGTTAACAAAAGTTTTGATGATGTATTTGCATTTCTTTTCATATTTTTTTTTGCCTGCAGTTTTTAGGAGAAATTAATATTTGTAAAGTGGAATCACGTTTTATTTTCGTTAAATTATTATTAATATTATTGAAAAAATTAAAATTATATACATTTATATAAATATATATATATATGAAACACGCAAAGAAACAAGAGAAAAATATTTGATATTATATATTACAGTTTCTGTCTTCTTTTTTTTTAGTACTATTTGTCACGTTTTTTTTTAATAATTTGTAAATTTAATGAAAAAAATATTATGTTCCTAATTTGTTTAGTTAGGGTTTCTTTTTATTATTTTATAATGTTAAGTTGATATGTCATCATTGTTTAGTTAGAGGTAGGTGCAATAAGAGATTTAATATGTTATGAGATAAATTACCTTTTGCCATATTATTATTATCATTATTATTATTATTATTACATTAATACATTGTGTATTGCTTGGGTATCATTTATAAATAATAAATTAATATGAAAAATTATTTGTTTCTTAAAATTTCTATTTTATACTTCCCCATTCCAATTAATAATTTTATATTATTAGCAGTGATATACTATTTATTTAGGTTTATTACATAATTTCATAATCCTTTTCAATATCTTCCACTCCACTTTCTTTGCCTGTAGTTCGTACAATTTCATCAAATTGGTTAAATGGAGTTGAGGTACTTAACTCTTTTAAGGGCGGTAGTACACGCAATGTACCATCTTTTGAACACGCCTAGTAGGGCATTAATATAATTTTCTAGAAAATGTACAGGAAAGAGAAATTACCCTTTAATTTGTTTGGTATGTCAATTCAGTTGACGAAGTTATATGATTCAGTTGTCTTTCTGGCCACTTAAAGAGTTAAAACACAAGAGTAGTGTTTCTCAAATTTTTTGGTCCTCGACCACTAAAAAATTTAAAGGACTCTGCGAAGTATGTGTAGAAAAACGTAGTAAAACATACCGTCTCGTCTATCATTAATTTTTCTTAATATTAATATTTTTAATATTTCTGAACGGAATACGATTTGAAAATTCTAAGAGCGTTATAATATTAGCAGTGCTCTCTTAAATGACTATAATAAGTTGCATCCAAATCGCTCGACTCGTTCAAAAAATTAATTATTTTTTGCTAACATTTCGTTTTTACAATTATTTCTTGAACGGAGTACGATTTGAAAATTCTAAGAGCGTTATAATATTATTTAAATGACCCCGCGAAGTATGTGTAGAAAAACGTAGTAAAACATACCATCCCGTCTATCATTAATTTTTCTGCGACCCCCAAAATATACACACTTTGAGAATCACTGCACTAGAGCACAAATAAACAATATTTAAACAGGAAATATATTTTGTTAAAATTTCAAATGGTTTGTATAATTGGTTGCATATGTTTCTTATGTATTATTAAAAAAAAACTTTACGAAAACTTTAATTGTTAAATAAAAAATCTATTATTAGTCCTATTGCTAAATGATGATTTAATTATTCTGAAACGAATGTAAATTATCTTCTGGAATTTAGATTGTACATGAAAAAATATTTTGAATGGGAAAAACGAGAAGTTGGTAAATATACTGAAGTTGTTAAAGATTTAAATAAAATTACTAATAACTTTTGTGGTTAAATACAAATACAATATATTTACAAATATAACCTATTATGAATAAATGAATGAATTAATTTTACTTTTTTTTTAAACTTTTTAAAGCATGACAACACAGTTGCCTATAATGATACAACCATTGAAATTCAAATTCATATTTATAAAATTATTTAAAAGTGTCTTTTAAAATTTATTAAGAGTTCAAAAGTATAGCTGTAGACCACCAAATACCCTTACAGTCCCCTAAACACAAAAATCAATCAACAATATCCATCCGAGGTCTCTCCTAACACCGTTGTACTGAATCACTGAGACCCCTATTCGAAAGTTGTTAATTAGTGTAGTCGTCACACATGTTTTCGCCCCTAATACCAGTAACTTAGGTCAGTGTAAAGAAATCTCAAATTAATAAAAACAGTGGCTGGCGAAATTGTTCAAGACGCGCAAGCCAAGTGAAGTGTTGAGAGGAAAAGAAGAAGAAAATTATTCAACATGATTCGATGTTATTAGGGTTAATTGATGCATTTTATATATTATTGGATCTTTTATATCATATTTAATTATGTACAAATACGTATGTTAACAAAATAGAATATTAAAATATGTTCCAATCAGACAATATCTTTGGTTTGGATTATAACAATAGTCGTTTTGTGATATTTGGCTTGGTATATTGTTACTTCATGTTTGTCAGTCTGACACTAGGTTAACATATTGGCTTGTACAAGAATTGAACTACCTGACAACCTTGTATAATTGTATCCGGTGGCAATCACAAGCCCGACAACCGAAATACCGCTAATCAAATTCTCGACGTTCGAAATCCCGACGTTTGAAATGCCGTTTGTATCGAAATCCCGACAACCATAATCCCGATTATATCGAAAATGTCTACAATAACATTTTTAAATTATTTTGACTTTTAAATTGTTATTAATAATAAATCATAACAATTAATAATCTAATTGTATTTGAGATTATTTCATAATGTTAAGGTTTATTATGAATAATTCAACAAAATCAAATAAATTNACAAGGTGACTATGCTCCGAAATAATTTTAAAATTTTATTGTAATTTTTTTTTATATAGTCAGGATTTTGATACAGTCGGGATTTTGATATAGTCGGGATTATGGTTGTCAAAATTCTGATACAATGATGATTATGGTTGTCGAGATTTTGATATAGTGGGGATTTCGAACTTCGGGATTTTAATAGGCGGTCTTTCGGTTGTCGGGCTTGAGATATAGACCCAATTGTATCATGTTCTTATATAATAATAATATAAATTTAAGTACTATTGGTTGCATATAATAAATTATATGTATATTCCATATTCAATAATAATTCTATTATTAATAATTATAAATATTCGCCTGTATCACGAAAATCTGATACGAAAGGTCGTTGGTTTGATTCCCAGAAACGAACAAAATTTGGCGAATTACAATGCAGTAAGTATTGAAGTACATTGTTACATACTAAAACTTAGTACATTTAATTTGTGATAGTAGATTTAAAAAAGTACTAACATGTATTATGTAGAGAAAATTGAATATTTTACTTTAGTATTGGTTATATTACATGACTGTATTATTTAAATAGGTGGTCCACATATTAAATATGTAAATAGACAAGTATCAAATAACTAAATTTTCTTTTATAAAACCTTTGAATAATGAATATTTGCTAAGTATTTTAAGTTACTTGAAATACCTGAGACATCATAACCTTTATGAAAGCGGGTGTTGGTAATTTAAGACTGTAACAAGCGCTCCACAAAAAGGGAGAAACAAGGTAATTTTACCTGAAATTCACACGTAAAGGTTCGTTCCAATGGGAGCATTTGCGAAAAAATAATCTACCCACAGAGCCATAACTCTCCAACTACTAAGGATATCTGTATCACTAACGACCTACGGCGGGGCCATCACTGCCGTACAGAGAGAAAGGAATAAAGAAAAAAAGGGAGACCGAAACCTTTATTTTTTGTTGTTTCACATTATCATTTCTTTCTAGAGAGAAATTCATGTTACCGGCGAGATCGTTTTATCTCGGTGTCAGTTTCTTTAGGTAAAAAGAAAGTACGCATGTGAGGAGCAGAAAGAAAACAAAAGAAAGAATTTAGTACTTATTAGCAAGACACTGACAAGGGTTAAGTGGATCTGGCAGATAATTATAAAGATATGCATATGGAACCCACACGTTTAACATTATAAACCTGATTTTAATTTGCTTATACTTATTTAGTTTTTTTTAACTCATTTTGAAGTGCATATACTTCACAATAGGTCGGGGAACTTTCAAGAATGAACGAATTCACATGTCCACATTAAATAACATACACTTTATACCAGTTTCTTCATTGTTAGTTCGCATA